TATTCGGTCAAGTAGCTTGCGATATCTGGACATCCCTGGACGTATTGCTCTGTACGTCTTCCATACTGAACCTTTGCGTTATTAGCGTTGATAGGTTGGTTGGTATTATTATTATTTATTATTATTTATTATTATTATATTTATTGTTATTATTAGTTCTTTGTGTGATTTCAATCTTTTGAAGCATCACATTCTTATCATCCTCATCATCTTCATCTTTTTCTTGGTCTTCCTCATCTTCATCATCTTCTTCTTCTGCTTCTTCTTCATCCTCATCGTCTTCATCGTCTGTATCTTTTTCGTCATCTTCATTCTTCTTCTTCCTCTCCACCATCAACATCTTCCTTTTCTCCACCATCATCACCACCATCTTCTCCACCACCATCATCATCTTCATCTTCTCCACCATCACCACCATCATCATCTTCATCTTCTCCACCACCACCATCATCATCCTAGGTACTTCGTCATCACGCGACCATTCACTTACGTCTTGAAAAGAACAAGATGGCGAATGGCGGGTATGATAATTTTCGTCTGGGTGGCCTCAGCGTTCATCAGCATTCCGCCTCAGTTTGGCTGGAGGAAAACTGTCAAAGAAGGTTTGAAAATCTTTGCAACATTGAAATTATGGTTTTAATTATGATAATTATAGTTATAATTATGATAATTATGGTTATAATTATGATAATTATGGTTATAATTATGATAATTATGGTTATAATTATGGTTATAATTATGATAATTATAGTTATAATTATGATAATTATAGTTATAATTATGATAATTATGGTTATAATTACAATAATTATGGTTAAAATTATAATAATTATGGTTATAATTATGATCATTTTGGTTATAAATATAATTATTCTGGTTATAATTATAATAATTATGGTTATAATTACGATAATTATGGTTATAATTATGATAATTATGGTTGTAATTATGATTATAATTATGATAATTATGGTTATAATTACGATAAAACAGGACAATGCGTGATCAGCGAAGAAATAGGCTACCAGCTATTCGCAACTGTCGGCGCTTTTTATCTCCCTCTTTTGGTGATGGTGGTCATCTACACCAGAATATATTTGGTGTCGTCTAGACTGGCCAAAGCAGCCTCCATCAATCGGCACTCTTCCGTGGTGTCCACTGGTGGCGGGTCAGTCAACCACGGTGAATTACCTGGTTAGTGTGTCGTGTTGTGTGTGTGTTTGTGTAGTATGTGTAGTATGTGTGCGTGTGTGTATGTGTGTGTAGTATGTGTGCGTGTGTGTATGTGTGTGTAGTATGTGTATGTGTGGGTGTGGTGTAGTATGTGTATGTGTGGGTGTGGTGTAGTATGTGTGTGTGTATGTATGTAGTATGTGTGTGTAGTGTGTGTGTGTGTGTAGTATGTGTGTGTGTGTGTAGTATGTGTATGTGTGTGTAGTATGTGTATGTGTGTGTAGTATGTGTATGTGTGAAAAATCTGAATGGAAAAGATTCACATAAAAATTGTTGATTGGTTTTTGGTGTGTGTGTGTGTGGTGTGTGTGTGTGTGTGTGGTGTGTATGTGGTGTGTGTGGGTGTGTGATTTTGTGTTTATGTAACCTACTTAAGTTTAGTTTAAGGTTACTTTTTAAAAAAAAATGTAATTAGATGAATTTTAGGTTTGAAAAAGAATTCCTTTCTTGAAGTTTAATTCAATTATGCCTTGCTTTTCATTATTTAAATTTAAATATGCAGCATTTTGTGATGATGATGATAGCGGTGATGACGATGATTATGACGATGATGAAGTTGATGAAGATGATGATCTGAATATGTATAATGAGAAAATTCATTTTCATTTAGTGAGCAATATGATTAATAACTTGAATATGTATAATGAAAAAAATACTATATGATGACCCTTTAAAAACCAACAAATCAATCGCATAAAAGTTTCAATCAACCGACCAACCAGCCAACTAACCGACCAAACAACCAACCAACCAATCAACTA